TACTGTAGACAGTACTGACACATGGTTGGAAGTACCCGTTACCAATGTTCACGCTATATGTTATAAGTCTTGCTGTTTCGAGAAACGTTTACGTACTTCTTATTGTTCTTGTCATCAGAAGCCTAGACGTAATGTCAAGGAACCTGACAAACCATGGTTTGATTATGAATGTAAACTTTTACGTAGAATATATTGAAACGCTTTGTGATCTTTTAATATATGTTATATATATGTTAACTGTTAGCAATAGAGAAAAGTTAGCTCGTGAGAAGAAGAAATACAAGACATACGAGGCGAGGGTTATGAGATCTTCTTAATGAAGGCGATATGATAGACATTATTTAAAAGTTTTTTATAGATTTTTTTCTAGACTTTTCTTCTGTCAATTTTAAGCAAGTTGAAATTGATAACGAATGCATTTACCCTGAGCTTGATGACGATTTTAGTCTTGATGAATTATTAGCTTCAATGAAAGGGTCATCCTAAGGTAAATCCGCCAGTTTAGACAATGTCATTAATGAATATTTTGTTGAGCATATTGATATTTTTGCACCAGTTTTCCAGAATGTTTTTAATACCATATTACAGGTAGGATACTTGGTCAGAAGATGTTATACATTATACATCTGCATAAAAAATGTGATACAAACGACGTAAATAGGGGAATCACGTTAGCAGGTCATATGGCCAAGCTGTTTACTTCACTCTTGAATAAACGAATGTTAAAGTGGAGCGAAAGCGAGAATGTAATTACGGATGCTGGGTTGGGTTTCAGCCCGGGAGTGGTACCAGAGATGCAATTTTTGTACTTAATACCTTGATTACTAAAACTTTACAGGGTAATGAAAGGCTTTAATGTGTTTTTGTAGACTATGGAAAAGCGTTTGATAGTAAATCACATGATAAATTGTGGTGTTAGTTGTGGAAATCGGGTGTAAGAGGACGGATGCTTAATGTTATCAAATCTATACACGAGAGTGTCAAGTCATGTGTAAAGCTTCATGATAAAATGTCTTCTTTGTACGACTTACAGGTCGGATTATTACAAAGAGAATCTTTATCTCCAATAATGTTTTCTTTATTTGTCAACGACATGGAATCCGAATTGATTAAGTCAAATTTCCAAAGTTATCACTTGCAATTACTTAATTTGTTTTTAATTATGTATGCAGATGACACCGTATTTTTTTCTTTGGATATAGTTGACCTCCAAAATATGTTGTATTTTTTTAAACACTTATTCTCGACGCTGGAATTTGTCTGTAAATTAAGACAAAACAAAAATAGTTGTTTTCAGGAAAAGTAAATGTTTGATGGTACAGCTATAGAAGTGGTCGATCAAGTTTGTTATTTAGCTTTGGTTTTTAATTATAATTATATTTACTATTGCATTGAATAACATTGCTGTACAAGGTAGGAACACTTATTTTCTTCTTAATCGGAAAGCGAAAAGATTTTTGTTGAATGAAAAGACCAAATTATCGTTACTTGATACTAATATAATTATGTATCATGTATTGTGAATTACGGATGGGAAGTCTAGGGTTATATTTCTACACCGTAAATTGAAAATGTAAATTTATTATTTTTGAAAACCTTATTGGGTGTCAGAAAAACAGTAAATAATACCATGGTGTATTTTGAGCTTGGTCTTCACCCTTTGCGTATACAGCGTAGGATGGCTATTGTTAAGTACTGGCTGCAATTGTTAGAGACTAGTATCAGTATTTTGAGGGCATGTTACCATGAACTTTTAGAGCTTCATAACAGGAAATCAAATTGTAAAGCAAATTGGATTTAACGTCTGTGACGTGATTTGTGTACATTGGGTTTATATCTGAGACGTGATTTGTGTACGTTGGGTTTATATCTGAGACGTGATTTGTGTACGTTGGGTTTATATCTGAGACGTGATTTGTGTACGTTGGGTTTATATATGAGACGTGATTTGTGTACGTTTGGTTTATATCTGAGACGTGATTTGTGTACGTTGGGTTTTGGAGATGTGTGGTTGACACAGTGTGTCCAAATGAGATTTTTTTTTTTTATTATTTTATATACAACGTATAAAGGATACTTTTATTCAGGAAATGAGAAACATATTCGAGACATCTTCAAAATGTTTGTCGCATAAACACACTGTTGACCGTTTTGATCTACAATGGTATTTTACAAAACCGCTATTTGGAACATATAAATGTATTCTTGCGAAACATAGATTACAAGCACATAACCTTAATATAGAGACACGTAGATATAATGCAGTGCCTCGAAACCAGAGATTGTGTATTTTATTTGATCTTGGAGATGTCGAGGATGAATTTCATTTCATTCCTATTTGTCTTATATCGATTCATATAGTCTATTTCGTCCTTCTGTGTTTAAGTTAATAGAGCTAATGTCTAGCAAAAAAATAAAACTTATTTAATTTATGTAAGTACTTGATACAAGCAACTGTTGAGAGAAGTCTTATATTATTAATGTATAAGCTTTATCAAAGTCTTGCTATAAGCGTCTTGTTACTGTATACCATGATTGAGATCTATGTCGTTTAAAGAGTGTATAATCTCATTTCATTAGGCTACCTAAAGGTTATTTGTATAATTTCATAAACAATTAAATTATGCTTCAAAAGAGTCCACTAAGTTACCTAAGGAAAAGCTTTAATTTTCTCCCAACTTATTACTATTTCATGAATTTGTAATTACAGTAGATTTCTCTTAATATCACTTCCCATTTGTCAGATAAAACATGATATTAACAGAAACATGACATTAACAGAATACATATTTTCTGACGTTTTACAGTCCTCAAAACCGGAAGTGAACTTAGTCAAATGCCTAAGTGATGTGGCTCTACGAAGAACATTGATATTTTGTAACTAACCTTGTTCTTTACTATGGTTGAAATATAGATTTAGGTAAATAAGTATAGAAATAAATATATTATTTGTATTTCATTTCAGTATGCAGTTACATTTCATATAGTTAGTAGCAAAATGACGATCAGTACGATCGTAATTATGATTGTTTACTGCAGTAGTGATGTAGGCATACAAGTGTTTGGCTGGTATTCTGCATCAAATTCATTTGTAAACATGAGACTTGGTAAATATTTACCTTTATCTTGATCAGGGACAGTATATATACGTCCCTGTCTTGATATATATACTGTTCTTTCGCTAATAACATCTTTTTATAGGTTTATTTCTTTAGATATTTGCTGCAAGTGTGTAATCGAAGATAGTACACATGTTATAATTAGTTGAAAGAATACATCACACTTGGCATTAGAAAAGTTTACAGATGTTAGACTATATCATTTTAACAAGTATGTAAGTCAACCTTTTGTTTAACTGCAGTCAGCCAGGTGTAACCTATTGTTTGACAGTCAGCCAGGTGTAAAAATTACCCTGTTAGGCCGAGGTGTTCTTTACATAACGCGTCCAGGGTGTGACAGAAGGTCCCCAGGGCATTCATCATGAATCATTACCACCATTAACCTGCAAGTTTTTTGTGACAGTGGCCAAAATAAAGTGATATTAAGAGAAATCGACATAAAATCAGGTGATAATAAAAAAAATGAATTGCATAGATTATATTGCAGGAAAAACGGTGCATCAAAAAAGCATGATAATAACCGAAAAATGACATTAAGCGATGTGATATTAGGTGAAATATACTGTATTATGTATGTTATTGAATCTATTGCATATGTTCTCCGCCATTGTACAAGCTATTTGTATTTGAATAAGTATTGATCAATATGTATCTTTCTATATGCCTATACTGCAATGTGCATTTGGTAATAAATTGAATTGATTTCCACATCAAATCTGAATAATGAAATTGTGCTACTAGTACCTATAATGTAACTCATGTGACCGCTCAGGCCCTTGGGCCTCTCCTCTTAAATTTAAAGATTAAACATTTCAATTAGTCGCAAGCAAATGTTGTCCGCTGGATCAGCTATAATCGCGAAGAAGAGTTCTACTCATAGTTTCTTTTCTGACGTGAAGTTATCACTCTTATTTAGAGAAAAGATTTAGCAACGGAAAGGAGTTTTCTGGCTTAGAGTTACTTCTTTCAACAATCCTATTTTATTTAGCCATTGCAGCCGATACATTGGGACCTGTTCGTTTATGCAGAACAACCGGGTTGTCCGTTTTTAAATGTAAAAATTTCGGGTATAAATCCTGGCGGACCTGCAAATGTTTATGCAGGCCTAACAAGGCTTTGTCAAGGCTCGCCTGAAAGCAGCATAAGATTACTAGGTCCGACCTTATTTATCAAACGGCCTTGGACTCTAATTTTGGTGCTGTTCAAGCCCTTATCCTTAAGAACCTGGGAACGCTTTTCAGTCATATATTGATTTTTCAGTACTTGTCTATGCAGTGAGTGTTGTTGCATTTTTGGTAGATTTGTATTGTACATTAGTTAGCCTTGTGTGCTTTTGATTGACCATACTCATTATAACACTATTCAGATAGTATACTATAAGTGTGCAAATGATTATTTTTTTTTAAAAAGGACGACAAAATATTTTCCTGCAGGTTAGACTTCCGTTTCTATTTGTTCTGAACCTGACCAGCGCTATACGCCAATAAATTGCAGGAAATCGTTAAGATCAACAGAACAGGACAGCAACTTTAACAGAGTTTGACAAACACTACATAATGTTAAATGATTTTTTAATGAAACATTGAAAAATATTCTTTTCACAAAAATAAACGAATAAACTCATTAGTACGAACTTGAAAAATTGTAAACGACAATAAAAAGGCCACTTGTATATATATAAGTATTATTTATGCGAACAGGATTTAGTCTCCCCTGACAGAGACGACCGACCAGTGGGCATGGGACTTATGATGGACGGACACAGCATATTCCGTCTTGGTGTATTGCAGAGTTATCTTCTCTTGTGAGCAGGTATTGAGTGTTACGTCACTGGTTTGTGAGAGTAACGTCATCAATTTTTGAGAAAACGACGTAATTCTCTCACACAAACCAATGACGTAACAATCAATACCTGCTCACAAGAGAAGATAACTCTGCAATACGCAAAGACGGAAAACTCCTGGGATCAATACATTCGTTGTCACCCTGTTGTTTACTTATAAACGTCGTTTGGCAACATTTAATTCTATGAAAAACAAAACGACGAACACACTTCTTCGTAGTCCGAGTCCAGACACAAGCTCACTATTAGAATCTGAACATAGCCATTCCCTGGACTGAAAACAATCCAGTATAAATTCGTCAGCCATCACGTATGAATGCGTACAAGGTAATTGTCAATGTTGAAACAGTAGTGAGACACATGTATACAATAAATCAAATTTTCTGGAGCAAAACTCACAACATATAAAAAGTCAACGAAGTCATATAAGGCGTTGATCAAGTAATAACGGCAAGAACTAATGGCAAAACTTGATAAACAATCATTGTTTGTTTGAAAAGTCAATTGAAACAGTCTGATATAATGGTCAGACAATATTTCACAATCCCAAGGCGTAAGCCATGTATAACCATCCAGTACAATAGTCAGAAAGGATTATCAATATCCAGTCCAATCTTATCGTCAGAAACTTAACCATGTAACAAGTACTCATCGCTGTACGTGACATAGCGACGCGGTCGTGACCCGGAAGAGTCATCCGAGGGCGTGGTCCGACCAGAAGACTGGTTCCGGCGGGCGTCGGCTCCTTGGAGTCGTGCCCGAGGGATCCCGAAACTGATAAAAGCCTCGGGGTGTAGCATCAGACGATCACCATCCACCCGTTTATCTTCGACCGCTCGGCTTAACACAAAATCGGACAGACGCCTGAAACGACCATTTAAATATCTATTCACGTTATGTCAAGCAAGAAAACATGTGAAGAGTCTATTCGATACTCGATACGAATAAGTTTAAATAAGATATGTTCTTACCGTTCCATTGCTATTTCCGGTTCCGTCATGCTGTCGAGAAAATGACCATCGACGAGGATATTGGAGTTTCGGTACTGTTCGCGAGGGAGGTTCCGGCGAGTCGCCATCACCTTGATGAGTCTGTCGTTAAGGTTACAGCGCCATTGCGTCCAGCCATGTAATCCCCGATTCTTCATCACGTAACTTCCAACGCGTGAACGGCGGTATTCGTCCTCGTCAGTGGACGAACTGTCGGCGAAGTAATCTCTGTTAGATATAAACACACACATTATATGTATACTCAGGGTTCTCCCCAGATTTTCTTTAAGCCGATATGTTTCATTTGTAACGAACATTCAAGACGGACACGCTAATATAATACCTTATAATACCTTATCAAACCTAAGGGGGGTGGGGGTGTAATATAATGTTTAAAAAGTTACTTTTATTTACCAAACTTCTTTTGGTGAACATTAAAACCAAGGAAATAAATAAGTGTTTCTTATTCTGAATTTTCAGCAATATATTCTGAAAAAAAATACAATTTATAGAAAGGTGGATGAGTTTTGTACATTGAGTAATAGATATGACATTTGTGACATTTGTCTCTTATCTTTACATTTGTATCCCTTACTTACTCCCCATTAAAAATAATTTAAAGAAGAAATATTTAAAAGCTATAGGGGGAAACACTTACATGAACAAGTTTATATCAAAGTTCTTATTGTTGTAAGAGAAAATGTTTTAATAAAATGTACAGTGTTTTTATTTCCTCTAAAACTATATTAAATACTGCTGTCAGTAAATGTGATCAAAGATTAAAACAGCATTTTTATTTGAGCTCTTCTTCATTAAAAACGACAAATCCGGAATTTCATTCCCCTTTCCGGTTTGTACTTTACACAATCCAAGATGGCGACCATCACTAACTGAATACACACGCTATTTCAGCGTTGTCAAATGCAATCATATGTGAGTAAATTAATTTATAATAGATGTAATAAGTGTTTGTTTTGTTAATCCAACAGTAGGTACCTCAATTAATCACCTATTGACCATGCTAAAAGGATCCGGTGGTAATTGCTTTAGGCTCCAGTGAGCACGTTTGCCGGACACCTGTGCCCTGTGGGCTTGTCGTCCGGTCCCCCTCCCCACTAATTACAGGCCCCCTGTGGCAATACGCTTATCATGCAACTGACCAGTGGGGTCATTGATGGACTTTGGTCAGCCGTGTGATTTAATCAGTGTCAATTTCTTGTGTAAAAAGACCACCTTCTGTTCAGTACAAATAACAAGGTGATACGGTTCACAGTTTAAGGTGATACGGGTCAATTAAGCTGATACGGCAGGGAGGATTTCAAACTGAAGCTGATACGGAGCCGTATCAGCTAAATGGCCTGGGGAGAACCCTGATACTTGATTACTATTTGCTGAACGGATACGATATTTCAGAAGAAGGCTGAGTAGGCCTATGACCAGAAGACGTACATGTCTCTGGCCGTTTTCAAAACGTGATAGGGGGCACAGTATGATGTAACAAGCAAACGAGACCGAGAGTTCAATCATGAAACCGTCCTCATGGTGCAGCATGGATTTTATGCCCAAACTAACTCGCTTAAATAGATCAGAGACATAATAAAGCCAACAGTATATACGTCGTCTCTGATTCAAATCAACTTTATACATTGAAAATGATTTCCTGTTTTAAGCATCTCCAAAATTCGCCCAAGTCACTGACAGAATGTAAATTTCTAGTAATGTATTACCGGAGCTTAAAATTATGGCCGTCATGAGAACAGCTTCACGAAACGGACCTAGGGATCGGACTCATGAGAGTTTTAGACGTTAATTGTAAGTCAAAAGAATGATGATTATCGATGCAATCAGAATTGCTCCTGCTTATCGGTCATACAGTGAAGTAGAACATAACAAAAATGAAAACATATACTAGATGCTGTAGTAAATAGTTGAATTAGATATGAAAACGCCGAAATACGACAATTTCTGCTAAATCCAGTTTTCAGCCTAGATTTTTTTCGTGATCTCGGAGCCAAAAATATCTTGTTTCCGAAACTTATTTATATTTGAATAGTAGAATGCGTCTTTTATGTGTCATAACAAACAAGTTCTATTATATATATATTTTTTTTAGAAAACTCTGAACAGTAGCATTTTGGCCTAAAATTTGACAAAAAGCTCTTTGAATGTAAACAAGCATTGCATATATTGACATTTCGTGATTACCAACGATATATATGAAGTTGTCTTATATTTACACGTGCTTTACACGTCTCTGACGTTACTGGCGTTGCCACAAACAATATTAGGAAGACTTGACTGATGTAGTTAGAAACGAAATCGTGCACATTGTATATAATATGTTATAACGCGCCTGATATGTTACCGAGCACGTGCTTACCTGCTCATTATATGCAACATGTAGGTTGGGTGTCGGACCAATTATAATATATCCTCAGATGTAACGTTTACGTACCTGCTGCTGTAAGACATCGTTGTAAATTCTGTAGTTCTGCTGACCAGGTCTTGTCTGTGTAATTGTTACGTCCAGGTACACGGCGGGTATAGGTAAACAGTTTGGGTGTGTAGGCTCGCCTCGCTGGACAGTACATTGTTGTTACGTCACAGACATAAAATATTACCCAACCAATTAGCGGCAGTACAGACGTGTTAGTGGCCATGTCGATTTATCCGGTAAACGGTTTTGTTGTATACCTGTATAATCGATAACAGATCGACACGACCACTGGTCAGTCTGGCGGATTGAGTCATATCGAAGGTATGTGTGATTTAGTCCGCGGGCCCCTAAAGACTGCAACAAAACATCGGTTTTTATTGTCATTTTCGGTGACGTCTGCGCATTCATGTTAGAGATGTAATCTCAAAGACTTGTTATGTAACGTCCCTAGGACATGAACAGTGGGCTAGATTATATCTTAACAAGTTCGGACCAACTACAAAAGCGAACAAGTTGTTTGTTAAAAACTATCAGATACATCTCTACTAACACGTAGCGTTTAATTGCCGTTAGATCTACGAGTGTCAGGACACTTTTTGGCAATTATCTAACATTACAATGACCGTGGAATGGTTGTTATTGAAACTGACTTTCATACGAATAGGTTGTTTTTGTTTATTAGATTAAGGTAAGAATCGCAATATTTTTCAAACATGAAACACAAATCGCAATGGCATAATTTCCACGACTCTTACATATTCCTTCTGCGTACCCATTTAGCTAAGCATGTGAGATATTTTGAACATCTTATCTATGCATTAACATATTACTTTTTAACTATGGAAAATGTAATACTATCATATTGTTTGTAACTATGAGAACATGTATCTATTTGTAACTATGAAAACATTTATCATTTTGTAACTATGGAAACATGTATCATTTTGTAACTATGGAAACATGTTATATTTTGTAACTATGGAAATATGTAACATTTTGTAACTTTGGAAATATGTAACATTTTGACAGTAACTTTTACCACTTGTTTTACACTGACTTTGACTCGAACGATTTCATGATAGTGTCTGTGTATGTGAAGGTATGGGGATATGATAATTGTCTACAGTCGAGTCAGAATCTGGGTTCAGTTTGTTTGCAAATTGAAAAAATCACCAGGAACATGTTTGGAAACAACAGTAAACAAACGTGATGCATAGTTATTTAAAATTACAAAATGTGTCCAAAGACCACGGCAAACTTGTCGAATGATTATATATTTTCGTGGAACAGTGTCAGTTACGGATCAAAATAACATTTAAATGACGTCATATATTTCATGTAGATGACGTTACGTTTCAGAACGTCATTTGAAGGTATTTTGTTTTAATGAACTTTCCAGTCAGGGTAATAAAAAAATGCATTTCCGGAACTGAAGGTCACTGAATGCGGTCATGTCCGGCCGATATGTTTCACCTAGTACCTGAGAAGGTTCGTACCCAAAAGAGACATATGTATATTCTAAAAACGTCACCACTTCACAATTATGACCGCGTCATTAATAACCACACCACAAAGAAATCGTGTCATCAATTTTGGTACACGTGTAAAAAAGTAGCACCGTTATGATTGCGCCTTTTTTTTTGTCCCTGCAGTTAGGGCGTAAGAATTGTACCTGCTGCCCCAATTGCATGATCTTTTCTTTCTAAATAACTTTCTTCTTCCTAATGTCTCCCTTGACAATGTCTCACTTTTGGCCTTTAGTTGAGCGTTCGCCCCTGTGAGGAATGCTTTGGGTTCTGCCCCCTGGTCGAGACATACCAGAGTCTGTAAAAATGGTAGTTTCTACTCCTGCTTATCGCTCAGCAATTATGAAGTGGGACGACTGGTTCGCCCATTGTCAGTATAATGTGACCGGATGGGGTGTCCTGTCGGGTGTCTTCGGCAGTATGTTTCAGTGAGGACAGACAGACAGACAGACAGACAGACATTCTTTATTTCCTCCTTTAGGAGATTTCATATGTCAAAACAGTTTTACAAAATGTGTCTTAATTTATATATAAACATCGTTTTCAGAAGTAAATGTATTAAATAATGACGTATTTGACATTCATATAACTGCATTATATAATTCATGATACAAAATGTTCACCACAATATCTTTTCCTCATATTACTTTTACATATATACGTTTACACTTATATATACATCAATAGGTTAATTATAGAAAACTCTCCATCTCACATACCATTCCTTTGATATTTCCAGCCATATTTATCATTAGTGTTTCCCACTCTATATCAGTCAAGTATACATGTGAATGATCGCCAAGTAAAAAGCTGCACTGGTCTTCAATGCTTAGTTCTGAAAACTGTACATATAACAATACTTCTATAGCATTTACAACACCATCCATCATTTTATCACGGCTTAAGTATAAACCTGGACATTCTAATATAAAATGCAACACAATATCTTTACTTGTTTTCTCACATATCTTACATATAACCAATTCATTCTCACAAGATATTGAGTATTTAAATAACTCTACTAGATCCCATACATGTTGTTGAGAAATTTGTTTAGTGCTTAGTTGCAATATTGGATTTATTCCCGGATCACTATGGATAGCAGCATATCTCTTATGTTCATCACGTGTATTTAGTTTATCTGTCCACCTTATATAATAAAAATCATATATAAATCTATTAATGAAACGTTTCCAGCATAACATCGGTGGTACGAATATATTTAGAACATAGTCATTGATAAATGACTCTATATTAAATTTAACCATTATGTTATATATATCAGGCAGAAATCCTATTTGAGTAGTTGATGAACTACCATACATAAACTGACATAGTCTAATAATAAAAAGTGTTTTCCATAAAAATTTTGGACCACCTAAACACAATTTGTTCCAAAATAATAGTTTCCTTCTCTCCACTTCGCTCCACATATCAAATGACCCTAAACACTGAGCAGTCACTGCTGTGGAGGAAGTTTTAGGAAGACCAATACAACGTCTACATGCATATCTCTGTGTACGTTCCAACTCTTCTACAGCTTGCTTAGTATATGAATTCCAAAGCTCACAACCATACAACATACTTGAATATACAACACTTTTAATAATATTAAAACTTAATACAGGGTTCAGCCCATTGGGGTGAATACCAATACTTAAAAGTGAATTTAGGTTAGTCCTTCCTTTCACACAAGCATCAAAAATAGTGGCACTATAAAGTCGGCATCAGTTCCGCGCTATCACAAGGAGGCAAACGCGAACATATCGCAGCCTCCCAAAACACACACGCATACACTACACGCATGCATCTTGCACACAGAGGAGGCCGTTCTCAAATGACCATGGCTGTTGATAGGACGTTAAACAATACTAAACCAAACCAAACCAAGCAACATTTTTTTTATTGAATTTTACTCCCTGTAGAAAAGTTTGTAAAGGCTTAAAAACCGTATAATGCAGACACGATGTGTTAGATAGCAATAATCATACTCGTGCGATTAGTTTTCCTTGTCCATAATACATGTACACGAGTGTTTAACGTACGACAGAGTGTATTTCATATGTAGAGATGGGAGAATCACGTGTCCCTTTGATGTTAGTTTGAAGACATGAACAGAAATCATTATCGTAGTCTGACTCACTGTAACGTATCAATGTTTTCATAGTTACACTGTAGTGAGACATAATGATGTATGTTTCTATAGTTACACTGTAGTGAGTCATAATGATGTATGTTTCTATAGTTACACTGTAGTTAGTCATAATGATGTATGTTTCTATCACTGTAGTGAGTCATAATGATGTACGTTTCTATAGTTACACCGTAGTGAGTCATAATGATGTACGTTTCTATAGTTACACTGTAGCGAGTCATAATGATGTATGTTTCTATAGTTACACTGTAGTGAGTCATAATGAGTGAGTTGAATCAACATAAGCTTCCAGTTTTTTTACTACTCTTAAGTTATAATATACGTGTAAAATGTTAAATGTGTAAATGTTGGAAATAAAATATCGTTAAAACTAACGGGTGCTCAATACCGACACCTCTCGTCACACTGACTAATGTATGGATCAAGATCAGTGTATTGTGAAATCGATACAACTGGTGAGCTGGGCATACTCCTCGTGATACGGGTATATATACAGTATATGAGTAACGTATACCTGTCAGCGTTCTTATGCTATAACTAGTTATGTCGTGGTCATGTAACGGCTGACTGGTATAAATGTAAGCGTTGTTTTACACGACACTCTAGATCTCTAGACGTAGCTGTTATAGTTCTATATCTAAATTTAGAAAGACAATGTTTAGAATATCCAGACAGGTATTTCGTCGAAGGGAAATATACCATGCCTAATGTTATAATGTCATTTATTATCTTCCGGAAAAATAATAGGAATCAGGAAAAACTCTATCGATACAAAATAGTAAAATAAAAGATAACTCAGCATCTACCTCTAGATTGCTAGTCTAGAGACCTACCCATTCCTTGTTTGTTGAAAAAAAACTCATCTGTGACTAATTATAACATATCAAACGGTCGGTTACTCCTCTTGACGATCAAAGCTATTAAGAATATTCAAATTAAACGCTTAATTCTTCTATTTCTCATGCATGTAAACCAAAACGTCAAATATTACATATACATTGTATACGGGTTGCATTGTTACATTATCATAATGGGACATGTCAATACGTATTAAGGCACGTTCCTTAGTAGACTCACCTGTGAAGACCATAATCAAAATAAAACCAAGCCAGACCAATTAAGGATTGAAGTGCTTTTTAATATTTATGAAGATAGTATTATGTAACACAGTTCTGTTCAGACATATTCCATGATGCCGCGTGGCAGCATTGTACTCACCGTGTTTGTCGTCAAACCGGACTTCCATCACACCTGTATTCAGCTATATAATGTTAACCCACATACATGTATTCTATAACTTTCAAAAAGTTGAAACATCGTTTGAGAACATGTTTGAAGATGGCCATTTATTTACAAGAGGAAGTGAATTGAAGGAAAATATAGGCAGTTTCAATTTTTCCCCGATATGTAACCTTAATGATGATGCGATTCTATGGTGATCCAGCGAATAAAGTGATGAGGTCATTATGTATGTGTAAGAATCGACAACAAAGAGTAAACATCTTCTAAGAGTCGAGTAACATATACTGTATTGGTCATAAATAAACAAAGCAACAACAGCAACAAAAAACAATAACAACAACAATTAATATAACCTGATTATAGGTACAAAACGGTGACGATAACAATACTGACCTAC